GTTTTTTGTTCTGTTAATTTTTGCTTCACACATTTTGCTGCACTGTAGTTTGATGCATACACATTTAGGATTGCTGTGTCCTCTTGGCGAATTGACCCTTTTATCACTATATAATATTCCTCTCTGTTTCTGGTAACCTGCCTATATTGTTATACTTGAAGTGAGTTTCTTATAGACAGCAAACAATTGGGTCGTGTTAATTTACTCTCACAATCTCTGTTCTTTAACTGGTATATTTATACCATTTGCATTTAATATAATTATTGCTGTGTTAGGGATTAAGACTGACATTTGCTGTTTACTGTTTGTTGTCTCTGTTTTTCATTTCTCTGTTTTCTTTTTCCTGTGGGTTATTCAAACAATTTTTAAGAATTCTATTTAGATGTTTCTATATGATATTTTTGAGTGTATCTATTTATAAATCTTGTTTAGTGGTTGCTCTGGGTATTATATTATATATACATAATTTATCATTGTGTACTGGTATTATTATTTACTGCTTCACGTGAAGTACAGAAATCTTACCCTCTTTACCTTCTTTCATCCCCCTTTTTAATATGCAATTCATTGTCATTATTGTAGCAGTTATATTCTAAAAAGTTATATTCTCTCTAAATTAGCAAATACTAAACCATTGCTCCTAGGGGAAATACAAGCTTAGATTCCTGGGTGCCTCAGGTAATATTATTATCAACTGATCAATATGTAACCTTGTTTCATAAATGTTTCTATTTAAAGATACCTTTAAATTCAGTTAACATTGAATTCATGGCCAATAGCATGTAAGTCATGCCTGAATAAAGCTTATCTAAAATATATATAGTTTCTCCATAAGGCACATCACAGCTTTCTTGCACTTAGAAACACTAGACAGCATTTCAGCACCACATTGGGGATCATTTTAAACAGTGCATTCACCAACAAAATGTAACAAAATGCAAATAACATAGCATTAGATAGACTATGAAAAAGGCACTTGTTTATATGAGCTGAAACAAAAGTTGACAGCCATGTTCAAGCTCAGCTTGAAACATATTGGAAGACTCAGATTTTCTACTACTCTGCACGTGTTTGTGAATGACTATGAAAGTGCCATATTAATTTGATGGTTACAAATAAAATTCAGTGAACAGGAAGATTAACAAATACAGAATCTGTAAATAATGAGGATCAACTATACTTTTATTCTTGCTTATTGATATAAAATTTTTCTTCTTTTATCATTTCTTTTCTGTATAGGGAATTTTCATTATCCATCTTTTCAGGATATGTTTATTGATGACAAATTCTCTTTATTTTTGTTAGTGTAAGATTGTCTTGATTTCCTCTTTATTCCCAAAGCATATTTTCACTGGACATAAGATTCTGGGTTGGCAATTCTTTTCTTTCAGCACTTGAAAAATGTGTTGCCTCCATCAGGCTTCCATGGTGTTTGATGAGAAATCTACTGTCATTTGAATTATTTTTTTTCATATAGGTAAAGTGTCATTTTTCTTGGGTGTTTTAAAGATTTTTCTGTCTTTAGTTTTTAGAACTTTAATTATGATATGTTTTGGCATGGATTTCTTTGAGTTTGTCCTGTTTAAGATTGACTGACTCAGCTTCCCAAATTTGTAGGTTTACCTATTCTTCCAGATTTGGGAAATTTTCAGCCATTTTTTGGTTAAGCACTCTTTAGCCCTATCTTCTTTTCTTTTTTTTCTTGGATTCTGATGGCATGAATATAGATATTTTATTATGACCTTACAGGGCCCTGAGTCTTTTTTTTCCCTTTGTTGTTTAGACTAAGAAATTTTTGTAATTGTGTCTTTCAGTACACTAATTCTTCCCTCTGTTTTCTTCATTCTGTTGTTGAGTATATCTACCAGGTTTTTACAATTTCAGTCATTGTGTTTCTCACTTCTAAATTTTCCATTTGGTTCTTCTTTATATATTCTATTTCTTTGCTGAGACTTTCTATATTTCTTGTTAAAGCTTTCTTCTTTTTATTTGTTTCAAGTGTGTGTATAATTGTTCTTTGACACATTTTTATCATGCCTTCTTTAAAATACTTTTTATATTATCCCAAAAACTCTGTCACTTGATGTTTGTATCTATTGATTGTCTTTTTGCATTCGGTTTAAGATATTTTTGCTTTTTGGTGTGATGAGTGGTTTTCGATTGAAATCTGAACATTTTCATAGTGTACTAGGAGACTGGATCTTACTTAATTCTTCTGCTTTGCTGGCAGATTCTGACACCACACTGGCAGGGAGAGGGGAGCATTGCCTTGTTACTGCCTGGTGGAGGCAGCAGCTCACAATCCCTGTTTACCTACCTACACCCAAGTAGGTAGCTCAGCTTACAACTTGGAAGGGATGAAAGTTCCGGCTTTCCATGTGGTTTCCAATGATACTGCAATTATGCTAGTCTTTTAACCACTGGGACATCGTGAAATGTTTGACTCTCTACTAGCCCTATTCTGACATTACGCCAGTGAGTTATATTCATATTTTAAAGAATTTCCCTTATGTCTGGGAAATAGATACAATCAAGTTTTCTTAATGAACTTTGTAGCTTTCTACTTTTATTATCTCTTTGCTGACTGGTTCTTTATTTACAGTAAATCTCTATCTGTCTGGGGGCTGGCAACTGCCCAGATGCTTTTTCTTTACCTAAGATGAATTTTCATATGTGCAGCTATTATTTTGTTTCATCTTTACTTCATTTTTTCCCCGCTCTTCCTGTGGTTTATTGCAATTGACCTACTCTGTGCCTTGCTTCTCAGTGCTTACTCCTTTTGAATGTTTATTTGTATTTCATGTCCTCTCTTCAGAGCATTTCCTTTTAAAACAAACAACAAAAAAGTGGCTTATGCTGAAGTGCTGAAAATGCAAATCAATGCACCTTGAGCAAAGGTTTCTCCCACTGGGTGGAGGGGTATCTCAAGTTGACTAGGGAAGGGTCAATAAGAGAGAGTAGCTGAGAGGCTGATTTTGAAGACTAAAACCCATTTCCTCTGAGGAAAGGAAATAGTGCAACACTATTTTAGATCATATTCCCCTGTCTCAGCCACTTGGTTGGTGTTGTGGCAATCAGAAGCTATAAATAGATAAAATTTGCTAAAAGCATCTTTAAGAACCATCAGGAGATATCTGGCCTTGCTCAGGAGGTTTTGGAAACTAGCATGTTAGCAAGTGATACCATTATCCCTAATTTCCCTTTTTGCAAATATTGTTCATGGTAATTGTCACCCCTTTGTCAATCTCTGGCATTCTCAGAGGTATCTTTTTAATTAATACCATCTCCCCTCTTTTGCACACTATTAGACTTCTGGATGGCCAAATCGGATTTGAAGGATTGATAGCAAGTTCTGCTAATGATTTTGGTTAGCTCTATTTGTTTTGCATGTAATTACCTTTTCTCAGTAATTAGAATTTAGTCACAGTAATCATACTTGATATAATTTTATATAAAGATTACCCTAGTTAAACTCAGATATATTTGTAATTTCCAAGCAATTATAGAACAATTTGTCCAAACCTATAGTTGTTCTGTCTTTGGAAGGAAAACATGTTTTGTTTGGATTTATTTTAAAATATCAAGTTTTTTTTTTCAAGTGAAAGAGAGCTGATAACAAAAATCAATTGTGCTTTTGAAAACAATGTTTCCTGACAAATTATTTGCTGGATAAAATTAATACTAATCTATGACATAGCAACCTTTTCTTTGGAGAAGGATTTGAATGGGTTGGTCTTTTGAATGTGTTCATTAGATTGATCTCATTTTAGAATTCTAATTATGCCATATCTGGTGTCTAGAAAAGGAGGTATGGATAACTTTTTCTACCTGTATTCATGATCTTCAATAAAACATTGTGTTTGTGGGCAATAGCACTCAGCTAGTGTCTGAGCAGGTATCCCTTTATCCCTTTAGGGAAAATGAAGTGGTTCTCTGGATTTATTCAGGTCAACCCCAGAGCCAGGCTGAACAGGGATTTTGCTGCTCCATATTTGAGTTTCTCGGCAGCCATGTGGCTCCCTGAGCTTTTGTTAAGAAAACCAGAAACACAGGGGCACCCAGACCCTGATGGCATGTGGTAGGTAGACAGTCCTCTCCTCCTGCAAGTCGGGCAAACAGGATGAGAATTTCTGTACTTTTGAAGGCATGCATTTTGTCAGCAATGTATTTCTGCAAGTTCTCTTTTGGAGGCATTAATGATGAATACAAGCTGCTTTAAGGTCATCCGAATTGGCATTCTTTTTCTTGTTGTTATAAAGCCTTTCAAAGAGACTAACTACATATTATTTTACTTACAGCAGCATATCCTTCCTTTGGAATTTGATTAAAGCAGCTTCAACTTAAATTTTTGTATGATTTCTTGGTAGTTACAGAGTGATCTAAACTAAAGTTCCCAGCCTGACACAACAGAGTAACTCCCATGCATGTGCTTTATGGGCAGCCTGGTTCTTGCAAATGAAGCTTATAAGCAGGCAAAGATGCTGCCACTGGGGAATTCACCGTCAGCACTAATGCTGCTGTCTAAACAGTTTAACTCCCTTTGGCTTGGTTTTCCCACAGTCACTGCTGACTGTAACTGCTGATAAGCTGAATAGTACTGGAGGTCAAAAATCTGGACACAGCTCTTAATTATTAAAGGATCAACATGCCCTAATGTGCACATCCTCTTAACTGGGCATCAAACAACAGGATCTCAAGGAGAGAAATGTTCCCTTTCTCTTAAATTAGCAAAACAAAAATAAAAACAAACAAACAAAAACATAAAGCAGTTTTCAGGTGAGCTATAGAGTTTTCCCCATATCCTCTTGTTTGTTTTTGAGACAGTGTCTTGCTCTGTCACCCAGGCTGGAGTGCAGTGATGTGACTCCAGTGCACTGCAGCCTCTTACTCCTGGGTTCAAGTGATCTTCCCACCTCAGCCTCCAAAAATAGCTGAGATTACAGGTGTGCGCCACCTCACATGGCAATTTTAATTGTAATTTTTTTTTTTTTTTTTTGCAGAGATGGAGTCTCACAATGTTACCCAGGTTGGTTTCTAACTCCTGATTTCAAGTGATCCTCCCATGTCAACTTCTCAAAATGCTGAGATTACAGACATGAGCCACTGTGCTTGGCCTCCTATGTTCTGATTCTAAATTTGGATCTTAAACTACTGAATAAGGAGGAGTCTTTTAATTACTCTCCAGACTCAAGCCTTTGTTTAATTGTATCTCTTTGTCATTGTGATCTATACTTAATCAATTTAACCTTGAACCAGCCTGATACCATGGGACATTGTGAACCCAACAGCACAGAACTGTGTCAATGTTTCAAGTCTTTGGCACGAATTTGTGGCTTCTCTTAACCTAAATTAAACTCTTCAACATATAATTATCCATCCTACACATTAAGCCTGTCTCCAAGGTAAATGTTTCTGCATGAATAAAAGCTGGTTTACAGCACAAAAACAGGCCCTCTTTTTTCTGCTTTCTCCCTGTCCCCACCACCAGAAAAATTGTGCATCCTTACTCAGAACTCTGTTCTTAGAGCTTTGGTGCCATAATGCTTCTAACTTTACTGATTACATAAAGATAAAAGTTAGACAAAGCATTTATTGCTCCATTTTTCTCTTTTTCTTTCTTTCTGCAGCTTCAGGGGAAAATGTCAAGATTTGTTAATAGCAAAAAAATTGGACTTAATAAAATATTAAGAGACCCAGCTGAAATGGTTTACAATGCTACTGAAGGAAAAGAATACTTCACAAAATTAGCAGCTGGATGGGTTATCTACAAGTGTGTATTGCTTAAGACATGATGAGGCTATACTGAATGTTTGGCTGGAATGAGTAATTGACAGTGTTGGTTCCAAATCTTAGTGAGACCTGTGCCAAACCTTGGTTTCTGGGAGTCTTCACAAGCATCATGAATAGATGAAAGCTTTTATATTTAGTTGTTGTGCTGTTTCACTTCAATAGCAGAAAGGATAAAGGACAGAGGCAGATAAGGAGTGGGGCAAGAGGGTAGAAATGAGTCTGTAGTGATCATCCACCAACAGAAACATCATCTTGAATCAACTCTTCACATGCAACAAAAACCTTCACAAGAGCTAAGGAAACTAGGCGAATATCACAGTATCTGGTTATAGTATAATAATACGAAAAGACACATTGAAGAGGATAGGAAGGATAGTTTTACAGTACCTATATCACTTCTCCCCCAACTCTAGGCAGCACAGTGTGGAGAGAGATACCATTTGTTTGACAGAAAGAGAAGGAAGTAAACATAGGACTTTTCCTGGGACTGCAATACTGAGCCTGCCAAAGTAAAACCCAGTGCCAGGCAGAATCTCTCAGCCCCTCACTCCAGGCTAGCAGTTGAAGACTGAACCTCTTCACCCATCCAGGCACCGCACAGGAATTCATATTCCTGTTAAATGGACTTGAGTTTGGCCTACATCACCATCGATCAACTACAGTGGCTGTGGATACTGAATAACAGACAGAGAGGCATTTGTGGCTATGGGCTTAGAATTCAGCTTGATGTTGCACCAGCCTCAGCAGTCAAGGGATTTCAGACTGGCTGCAGTAATCCTAGGCTTACAATATCCCCTAGCACTGCAATGGCTGTGGCAGTCACAAGCATAGGGACCACAATAAATGACCTGCTTAGAATTTCTGGACAGGCTTACTGCTGAAGAACAGTCCAAGATAAAACCGACCATGAAAACTGGAATAAGTACCTACTTCTTCAATGCATAGACATTACTGTATGACCATAACATCAAGAACAATCAGTGAAACATGGCATTATCAAATAGACAAAATAAAGTGCAAGTAATGAACCCCAAAGAGATGAAGATATAGAAATTATATGAAAAGGTATTCAAAATAGCTATTTTAGATACTCAATGAACTTCAAGAAAATACAAGAAAAATTTAATGAAATGAGAAAACTATGAGTGACAGAACAAGAAATTTAACAGAAAGTCTGAAAGAATAACAATTTTTAAATCAATCAAACAAATTGTAGAGCTAAAAATACAATAAACAAAATGAAAAATGCAATAGAGATCATCAATAACAGAATTGATCAAGTAGAAGAAAGAATCTGTGAACTCAAAGACAGGCTTTTTGAAAATATACAGTCAGAAGAGAAAAAAGAAAAAAGGGTAAAAATGAAAGCTTATGAGATTTATGGGTTAACATTAAAAGAGCAAATCTATGAGACATTGGTGTTCAAGATGGAGTAGAGAAAGATAAAAGATAGAAAGTTTATTAAAAAAATAACAGCGGCAAACTTTTCAAACCTGGAGAAAGGTATAAATGTTCAGGTATAATAATGTCAAAAGTTGCCCAGCAGATTTAATCCAAATAAGACTACTCCAAGACATACTGTAGTTACAATGTCAAAGATCAAAGAGAAAAAGAGGTTGCTGAAAGTAGCAAGAGGAAAGAAGCAAGTTACACATAAGGGAGTTCTTAAATATCTAGCAGATAAAGACAATTCAAAGAAAGCATTCTACCAAAATAGCCAATAAACATAGGAAAATGGGTTCAAACTAATCAATAAACCAGGAAATACAAATTAGAGCAATCTATCCATTTTTGCCTATCAAATCAGCAAATATGTAAGAAACAATAACATCCAGGATTAGTGAAAATACTAGGAAGTTACTATAGTCGGAAAGACTGGTTTTGCTTTTAGCTTCTCCTCTTTGGGCATGCCATTTCGTTTCTCTAAGACTATTGTCCTCGGCTGTCAAATGCAGATAATATTAGTAACCACCTCACAGTCTTTTTGAGGGGATTAAGTGAAATAATGCTTATAAAGTTAATATATCATCTGGCATATAGCAAATGCTCTGTTAATATTAGTATTGTGATGATGATTATTATTGGAAACTAGACTCTAAACACACTGATGGAGAAGTATAAGTTGGTAAAACCTTCCAGAATAAAAATTTGACATATATACTAATGATTTAATATTGTGCATACATTTGACCTAATAATTCCACTTCTAAAAATTTGTTCTGAGGAAACAGGACATGATGATATGTTTACAAAGATATCTTTTATGAAATTTTTTATATTGACAAAAACATTGAAACAATTTAAAGACCTAATAGTAAGGGAATGGATACAAATTATGGTTTGTCTTTCTACTAAAATTTCATTTAGGTGTTACAAAGCATGTTTTTTAAAGACTATTTAATGGCTGAGAAAAATGATACTATGTGAAAATAGTGGCTATCATTGGTCAGTAAAATAGTATTACCTGTTATTTGTATTTTTTATTAATACTCATTTGTAGTTTAAATTTTTCCTGTAGTCAGTCAAATGCTTTTTTGACATCTGTTGCATATTAGGTACTATGCAAAGTGTCATCAATATGGAAGGCACTGCACCCATTCAGCTTCTAGTCCATCCATTGGAAAATCTGGAAGATGTGTTACTTTTTTTTTTTTTGTGACAGAGTCTCACTCTATTACCAGACTGGAGTACAGTGGCACAATCTTGGCTCACTGAAATCTCTGCCTCCCAGGTTCAAGTGATTCTCCTGTCTCAGCCTCCTGAGTAGCTGGGTTTACAGGCACGTGCCACCACACTCAGCTAAGTTTTTGTATTTTTAGTAGAGACAGGGTTTCAGCACGTAGACCAGAATGTTCTCGATCTCTTGACCTCGTGATCCACCTGCCTCGGCCTCCCAAAATGCTGGGATTACAGGCAAGAGCCACTGTGCCCAGCCATGTTACTTTTATAAAAAGATGATCATTTCTAAAACAAAAAGGGAACTACTATATTATTTTTCAAGGGCAGCCATAACAAAATGCTACAGAAATTTATTTCTCAGAGTGTGGGTATGTTTTGTTTCTAAGAGACAGGATCTCCCTCCATTACCCAGGCTAAATTGCAGTGGTGCAATTAGAGCTCATTGTAGCCTCCAACTCCTGGCCTCCAGTGATCCTCCAGCTTGGCCTTCCAAAACTGGATTATACATGTGAGCCACTGCACCCAGCCTATCTCCCTTTTAAAACTAAAATTGGGTATGTATAACTTTTGTTTAAAGAGTTACATGATTATTTTCACTATTGCTGTTCATCAATGACTCATATTTCCTGCCACACCAACCAAAGGCAGATTTTATTATCAAAGAGTGCATCTGAATCTAGTCAGACACTAGGACACCATCTCCTACCTTAGGGAGTCCTCCCAGAGTACCTAATTGTGGGCCAAGATAGGGTCCCTGGACTACACAGGGGTCCCCAAATCTAGAACAGACTTGAAGTGCCAGGGAAACCCTGGAATGCCACTGTTTTCCAGAGATTATTTACAACTGCCCGTATAAGGTCACCTTCACCTAAACTGAAATCACAGCTGCCAATGCTATGGCTTTCAAAGAGAGGTCCATATTCTTAGTCTTTATAAAGGGGCTCTCAAAGGGGCTAAAAATATTCCACTGAAGGGAAAAGGAAGTGTAAAAAGTGAAATAAAGGTTCCTCTTCAAATTCTTTTATCCTACTAAGAATAGATAGTAGTCTCTTTGTCTAAGTTAATCTACTCTAAGGCCTTTGTTACCTCTGCTAGCTAAGATTAAAAAATTAATATATTTTGCATTCTTAGTTCTTACATTTTAGCCTAGATATCTGCCCTGAGACTCCTGGATAAGCCTGGGCAAGCCTTAGGTCATAGCTTTTCCCCTTTTCTTATTTGGAAGCATTTTTGCCTGTCTCGGCATTCCTTAAGCCACCTCCTCTTTCCCTTTGTTCTCCTCTGCTTTACCTCTTCAGGAAAGTTTTAAATTGCTAGCCAGCCGGGTATAGCCTAGAATGTGAGGTCCAGTTTCAGACAATGGAACCAGGACACAACAATAGGGCCAGATGTGTTAGAATAAATATACCTGCTCTTCCTTTGTTCAGTGCACTCTCATGGCAAGACTGCTGGTGAGCAGTGCCCTTTCTGCAGAAAGTAAAGGCCTTGCTGCAAAACCTTTTGTCTGAATGCTGATTCTTCCCTGTGTCATTAGAAGATAAGCACTTATTCCCAACAGGAAGAAATACATAGTTTCTCAAAAAAGAAACTATCAAGGAAGAAATATTACCACACGGTTTCTGTTACGGATGACTTATCTTCCCTAAGAATTCATATGCTGATGTCCTAACTCACAGGACCTCAGAATGTGATTGTATTTAGAAACAGAGTCTTTAAGGAGATAATTTAAAATAAGGTCTTATGGATGGGCCCTAATCCAATACGATTGATGTCTTTATAAGAAGAGAACATTTGGACATAGTTACAGAAGAAAAGCCACATAAAGACCCAGGGAGAAGACAGCTATCTACAAGCTGAACAGAGCGGCCTCAGAAGAAACCAATTCTACCAACACTTTCAAAACCAGCCCAGGCAACACAGTAAGACCTTGTCTTTTTATTTAAAAATAAAATACATACTTTTAAATGGAGATAAACTTTAAAAATGGAAATAGGTGCTTCTCCTTGGCTGGAGGATAACCATCATTTCAGATTAAAGTAGAAGCAGAAGTGAACCCAGAGAGTTCACTTCTCTCTAGAGAGTTCAACCACTTGTTTCAAAGGTTGGAAAATTGGCTCACCCAGGCCTCTGTATTTGCCTCAAGTCACAAATCTAATGAGTGGCGAATGCTGATCTCAAGTCCAGGGATCAAGATACTGGTCCAGTGTGATTCCCATGATACTCTGTGAGGGATAGAGTAAGCCTATGTGCTGGAGGAAGCATTGGACCTGGGAGTTAGGAACCCTGAGTTTCCACCCAGGTTGGCCACTAAGCAGCTACATAACAAATGGGCAACCTGTCTCTTCTCTCTAGGCTCCTGTTTTTTCTGTATTTTGAAAATGAAAGCTTGATCATACATTTCCTTCCATCTCTAACATCCCCCAAGTTTTTCATGGGTGCCACTCCTTCTATATTCAGGCAGGCAGAGTTGGCAGGGGGTCCAGATGTGTTCAGTAGAGAATAGTTACCTGACAGTGTCTAGCATACTAAAGAAAAGACCAGCGGCCTCAAGGCTTGTCCAAGGAATTAAATGAAGATTGAGAATGAGGAGATGCTATGGTTTGACTGTGCTCCCTCAAAAATTCACATGTCGAAATTCAATCACCATTGTGATACAATTAAGAGGTGGGTCCATTCAGAGGTAATTAAGTTATGAGAGCAGAGCCCTCAGGAATAGTACTAATAACCTTTTAAAAGGTCTGGAGGAAACTAGCTACATTGTAGGAAAGAGCTATAAACTTTGCTCTTCTGTCCCTTCTGCCATGTGAGGACACAGTGTTTCTTCTAGAGGGTGTGGCACTCAAGGCACCATTTTGGGAGCAGAGATCAGGCCCTCACCAGACACCAAACTTGTTAGTGCCTTGATCTTGGAATTCCTAATCTCCAGAACTGTAAGAAACACATTTCTATTATTGATTAATTACCCAGTCTCAGGCATTTTGTTGTAGCAACCCAAACAGGCTAAGACGGGAGGTTGAAAAAAAGATTACAAAAGATAATATATTACAAAAGAAAATAAATGAGATTTGCAATCTTGTTCACCTCACTTACATTAACAAAGTGAGCGTCCACCTCACGACTCACATATTAATTAAATGCTGACACATTTTGTTTGCTTTCTTACAGGTGAATTCCTGTAACACAATCTTCACTTATGTTTTTATTAACAGGTAAAGCATCTTTACTTCCACTGTCTTCTCTTCGTAAAAAGGTAAGCTACTAAGTTGTCAGTATGCTAAATGACAAGAAATTGATGAAAGTCATTTTAACTTCTCTTTTTGATTAGGTCTCCTTTTCTTCTTTCTTTCCTTCTCCTTCTCTTTTTTCTTCTTCAGTGTGTGATTACCTTTGTTTTCAAAAAGTATTATAGCTTTACCAAAATTTTCATTAGCATTCCCTATGCATATTTTAATTAAAGAAAACTCATGTTTTGCTTAAGTCACTGGGGAAATGAAAGGTATATGCTAAACATGCTTGTACTTTGCATTAATTTAAACTGGACTCTCTTCTCTGATATGAGACCAGAAACAAGGCCACAGACTAACACCCACTCTCAGAAAAATTCATAAGTAGCACAGTTCCAAGACTGTTTCCAATTATCTTGTGTCCTTTTTGGTTGTAAAGGACAAAGATCTAAATGAGGAGTTGTACTTTCCTGTATGAAACAGAGCATTAATTGCTTCCCATTTTATATGCTGCTGGAGTGTACATGAGGTATAACATATATTTCTACAAGGTGCCTATATCAATTGTACAATTTTTACTTGTTACTTGCATTAGTACTTTACTAAATTGATGCTGGTAATTTCTTTCATTTTACAAAAATTGAAATTATAAATCATCATCAGGTGTTTTCTTAAATATATAGAAACCTTTTAAACTGTTTTTCTACTTGTCAAACTATCATTCACCATACATAGTGAATGAATAAGAGGCCCTTGGAGTTTCCTGCTGCTTTTTTATTCTACCAACAAAGGAAAGCCATCTATTCTCTTTAGGTATAAACTCCCATTGCCATAATTTTTAAAAATTTTATTTCTTCCTTCTTTTTATAGAGATGAGGTCTTGCTATGTTGCCCAGGCTGGTCTCGAACTCCTGGCCTCAGTGATCCTCCTTTCTTGGCCTCCTAAAGCACTGGGATTAGAGGTGTGAACCACAGCTCCAGGTTCTCTATTGCTGTGATATTTTTAACACACTACTGCTGGCTTGAAATTACTGTGATTTTTAAAATATACCTAAAGCTTTACTCTGTAGCATCAGATCCAAGAGTCTATATTTTTAGTGACTTTGATTGACTTGGCCACTTTTTTTGAATGCTTTTAGAAACCATTTATTTCTGTTATTTTGGTCAGTATACCTTAGATATCACTCAAGTTGGTGAGTAAATTCTAAGATAACTCTCTCCATCTACCAGAGACTGATGTTATAGAAGCCTCCTGCATGTGAGTTATGGTTCTTTGGCAAAGAATCTTGAACTAGCTAGAAAGCCACTGAGGGCTAAAAAGAATTGACGGGTCTTGGCAATTATTGGGCATGGTCTCTGCCAAGGTCACACTCCTTCTACTCTTTGTTGTGGGCATCCAGGGCTTGCTTCCACAACCTGTGGCCACTGAACCTAAGAAGCAAAATAAGAGTGGTTGAAGTGTCCAGAGAACAAATAGTGGATGAGATCCATTTATTGTTGGTTCATAATGAGCGTACACCATAATCCGCAGGCAGTTTGTTAATTCCCCATGAGAAATTATCATCACAGAGACCTGATATACTCCAGATTTGCATATTATTCTCCCTGTAAACAGACTTACATGGGAAACCAAATAATAATTGCAAAATTACTACATGGCTATGGAATTAGAAAATGGGAAGTTAATGACCTCTGGCTGAAAGAGCTGGATATGTCTATTTCATAAATGGGATATTCTTACTAATGGGACCATACTGTTTAAAGTCCATTAGTGATTATTCCTTCATTTCTGAGCATGCTTTGATAAGCACTGTAGCATTTACCTCAACTCACCTTGTCTTTTGTTTCCAAACTGTATAGCTGCTTTAATGATTGATGCATTCTATTTTTAGACATGTCTATACATTTAATATCATGGAGAAATTATCCCTGCCTGGGAACCATTCTGTCTCTTTACAATAATGGTCATTTATTCATCAAATATGTATGGAATGTCTCCTACATTCCAGACCATGTATTCTGTATTAGGCATGCAGCAGTAAGCGAGACAAACAAGTTATACAGTCTAGAGGGGGGAACAACAATTAAACAAGCTATTACAGTAATGTGTGATAAGTGTAACAGAATAAAAAGAGCAAGAAGCAATGAATCACCTCATCTCTGCTCTAGGAGACTCCAGAGGGCTTCTGGGAGAAAGTGATGCCAAACTTGAGACTTGAAGGATGGAGCTGGGAAAGGTAGCAAAGGTTTTCTGGTAAAGGGAACTTCCTGTGTGAAGACCCAGAGGAGAGAGTGCAAGGTACCTTTAAGGCACTGAAAGAGTTTTATTAGGGCTGTAATCGAAGGTGAAGATGATAATGGCTGTGAGCTAAGCAGGACCAGATCAGGATCTGATTAGACCTGTTAAGGAGACTGGCTTCTATCCTAAAAGCAATGGGAGAGACTGATTGGTTTTAAACCTCATAAAGATTAGGTTTGCAGTTCAGAAACTCTGGCTGTAGCACAGAGAAAGGATTTGAGAGCAGAAAAATCAGAAAAAATAAAGCAAATTAAGGGGCCATGGTATTATTTTGGGCAAGAATGGATGGTGAGTTAATAGGATTAATCAAGGTAGTAGCAGTTAGGATGGAGAAAAATGGTGTTTTGAGATATATTTATGAGGAAGAACAGCTAGGACTTGATGTCTAAATGAATGTGAAAGGTGAAAGTGATGGGGAATCAAGAATGACTCTAGGTTCTGCTGAGATAGGGAATACCAGGAATGACTGGGTGTGGGTAGAGATGAATATAGGCCAGGATGTGTTGTGCTTGAAGTGTTTGCTTCTGAAGACAGTTGGATACGTAAATCTGCAGCCCAGGAGAAATGACTGGGCTACAGATAAGACTTTGGAATCATCAGCAAAAGAATACTCTTTAAAGCCACAAAAATAGATGAGTTCTCTTGTGAAAAATATGGAGAATCTGAAAAGAGATCAGCATTAAATCTCAATTGGAAAAAGAGCAGGCTAAAAGGTAAAAGGAGGTGGTTCAGATGAATGGGCAATGTGACCCCTAAATTCTGTCCTGCAGGTCTGCTTTGTAGAACCACATTCATATTCCAATTATATATTTTTTGTATTTCAATAGCTTTTGGGGTACAAGTGTTTTTTGGTTACATGGACGAGTTGTATAATGGTGAAGTCTAAGATTTTAGTGCACCTGTCATGTGCTGTTCCAATTTTCTTAGCACAGAAAATATTCTGAGGGAGAACTAAAGAAATGTTCATGCTTTATATGGTATGTTTAGACCTAGAGAAGCAAGGATGAGAAGAAAGGAAAGATGAAAATCAGTGCAAGATGCATGGTCATGCTCCTACCTCTTCATGGTGAGTAAGAAGCTGCCCAGGCCACACCCAGGTGTGCCCACTCGGCACTTCCCTGTCTGGGCTGCAGTGAGGCACTATGCATTGGAGCAGTCTGTGGGCAAGGGGAAAGAGGAGGGATTCATGTCTCCCCCTCTGCCTTCTCTTGTTTCTTCTTTTTAAAATTTATTTATTTTTTTTATTTTTTTATTGCATTTTAGGTTTGGGGGTACATGTGAAGATAACATGCAAGATACCTGCATAGGTACACATGTGGCAGTGTGATTTGCCGCCTTCCTCCCCTTCACCTATATCTGGCATTTCTCCCCATGCTATCTCTCCACAACTCCCCACCCCCCACTGTCCCTCCCCTATTCCCCCCAACAGACCCCAGTGTGTAGTGCTCGCCTCTCTGTGTCCATGTGTTCTCATTGTTCAACACCTGCCTATGAGTGAGAACATGCGGTATTTCATTTTCTGTTGTTGTGTCAGTTGTTTCTTATTAGTAAAGGTTAGCTCAGGTGTATCAGTTATGGTTTAACCAGAGAAGCAGAACCAATAGAAAGATTCTATACAGGGATTTGTCACAGGGAATTGGCTTATGCAGTTGTGGGAGTTGGTAAAATCGTCTTCAAAAAGCTGTCTCCAGCTAATGCTGGAGCTTCAAGTCCACTGGGCAGGCGATCTGAAAGGGAAGATCACGAGCAGGCTGTGAGCCCTTGAGGGTGGACTGAAGCCGCAGCCATTTTTGTTGCCTCTTACTCTTATGAAGAGGGTGGTCAGGTGCAAACTGAAGCTCTTCCTCACAGAGCTAAGCATGTACACCTGGCCCAGGAGTCAGACAAGCTGGAGACAAACTGGGAAGGTAGATCAATTGCAGGCCCACCCACTGCTTCTGACTAATGTGGTGAATGACCCCTTCAGCAACAGAAGTCAGTTACAAAATGGCCACTGTCTTACTTCTACCTTCTAAATCTCAAAATGGTCACTGCCTTCCTTCTCCCTTCCAAATCAGGTAAGTGTCTCTCAGAGACCCAGCCTGGGGCATTGCTTTTAGAATCCAAATTCTCTTTTTTCCTCCAAGCCTCTTTTTTGGATCAATTCTTGAAAGCACAGGACTGGTGGGAATTTAAACTCCCCATATTTCTGGGTTGCATTATCTGTGCCCTACAAGTCTGGTGCTTCAGCCAAGTCTCAAATGGTAGGAGACGTCAGAAACTGTGGGTGACTGCCCATCGGGGGAGCCCAATACATCCAGAACAAGTGTTCAGTTCTCACTTAGTCATAGCAGAGTGTGCTGAGAGGCAAGGATATTGGAGGGGATCTGAGGAGGCTAATAGAATACAGCTATGTGTTGGAACATTTCGAGGCATAATAGGACCTTTAAGTCTGAGAGGAAAATGCTTTAAAACTAGGCCAGAAGACTTCAAAAGGCTTATTTTTGTTGAGTAAAGAAACTTATTTCAGACACCTGCCACCTAAAACTTAAAATTTTTAGATGTTGACCTTAGAACCGTTATGATAGTGTTCATGCCAAGAGAAGGCAGCTTTTATGCATATACTACATTGCTTCTGTGAGAATGAACTATCAAGTGATAAATATATAAACTTGATTGTATTCCTTAATAAACAAAGCAGCCCAGATTTAGTCATAGACCAACTTTAAATATGGTTAGTGGTAATAATAGTGCTTGTCTCAAAACTAAAAGCATGGGAATCATCAGATTATTGAAAACAATTTTTTCAAAAATCTCTCTTCTTCCAGACTGCATGCACATGTTTCTGACACTGTCTTTGCAGAAACACAGCAAAAAGCAAATAGGAGAGATGGTTTCTGCTATTATGGCATTTATGAAAGAGGATATTCTACCAAGGTCTCTACAGATTTATTTCCTCTACCCAGACAGTTCCATGTGATTTCTATTCTGAGTTACTACCTGTGACAGGTGATGTTTATATAAGTAAAACACCCTGTGGGCTGAGGCATTAGTAAGTTCTGCTGTGGCTTTTGCCCAACCCCAACTCCCTGCCTGGGCTACCATGCACTTCTCTCTCAAGAAATTTGATCAGAATGCATGTGAGCCAGAGCAAGTTATAATATAGATAATGTGAAATGATGACAACTTATTTAAAAAATCATTTGTAAATGTTAGTACTTTAACACTAAGGTATTTTTATAAACATGGATGTGATATTAAATATATCACACATGTTTATAACAAGGGACGGTCCCACTTGAAGGGTTAGAACTACAATTCTAAAGCTGGTTTTTAAAGACAGGAACATTCTATCCAGCTTATTCAATGTTCCTATGAATAAAGCTTACTGATAGGATTACTCCTTTTGCTTTGAGTGAATGGTTGCGGAGGTGCGTAGGGATTTAAACCGCAATCACAAATATTTTTTCCTGGTTTACTTTATTTTTAAAGTACCAAGTTATCAATTAATCAGTGTCATGACTTTCTTGTAGAGTACACATCGTTTTAATTCCTTGACTGACTTACAGTGAAAACAAGCTGTGCGGTACGTTAGAAAACTTTTAGAAGGCAAGAAAGGTCGTGAGCCACATCGTGCTGTTGAAGGTTGTTTGTATCTATCCTTCAGCTCCATTTCTGTACTCACAAGAGTCCTGTAGGTATTTGAAAGGCTCTTTTGATTGCAAGTGACAGAAACTGGACAAGCTAGATTAACAACCCTCTCCAAAAAAAGGAATCTATCAGCTCTTGTAACTGAAAAGTCTAGAAGGAGACTTCCTGTTCACATGGCTAAATTCAGAGACTCAAGAGATGTAAGGTCTCTCTCTCTCTGTCTCAAACACACACACACACACACAGTTTTCTCAAAGTCACAGCACAAATGTAAAAAGGAAAGTTTACTTGATAGCTCTGGTGGCAGAGCCTTGGTGGACATCTCATGGTCGAGCTCGTGAGGTACTCAGCCTTGGAGCAAACATTGAATGTTATGTTCCAATTGACCAACTTAAGTCAGGTGATGATTGGAAACCCTATTGAATAATAAAACATTAACTTGATCCTGAGAGATTGCAGATGTTTGTCCTAGCTCCTGGGAGGAAACCCCTAAAGCTTAAGAACCTCCAGAGTGATGGGAGTGTCTTTGCTATTCATGGTGGACCCTCAGACCTAAACCTGATGGTTTATGCTAATGAGGTGACTCAAGGTGGTGGGATGGCCATCCCAGGAAGACTAACTGTGTGATTACAAAACTGAGCCTTTGGCCCATGGAATATCACCCTGACCTTCAGAGAGACAAAAAGGGGGCACTGGAAATTGAGTTCAACTATGTGGTGATGATTAAGTCATGATTATGTAAGAAAACCACAATAATCACTCTGGACACTGAAGTTTGGGTGAGTTTTCCTGGTTAGCAGTACTGAAAGTGTTTTATTACATTTTGATAATGGGATAGTAAGAAATCCTTGATGATGATGAAAACTTTATATTTGAAATCCTCCTAGAACTCTTCCTATGTGCTTCTGCTTCTAATTTGTTTTCTCTTGCTATAATGAAACTGTAATCATAAGTATAGTGTTTGCCTGGGTTCTTTGAGTTGTCCTAGCAGATTATCAACCCTAAGGGTGATCATAGGAACCCCTGAGTTTGCCAGTTGGTCTGAAGTGAAGGTGGTAGGGGACCCTAAAATTCACAATTGGTGCCTGCATTGAGGCCAGGCTTGTGAGGACTGTTTCCTTAGACTTTGAAGCTTGACATTTTCCTTGCAGTTGGTGTCAAGAGTTTTGGGTAGATGTAGCAGTCTGTAAGACTGTGCCCTTAACCTTGAGTTTACCTAAGTCTGGTACCCACTGATGGAGAAGGGCAGTTTCAGGAAGAAAAAATGTGGGCAGGCAAAAACCAGCAAACTGAATCAAACCAACACTAATCACATAACCAGCTTCCTCTCTTTGCAAGAGAACCCATCACTCCCAGATGTATGCCCTGTAATAATGTCTCATGGCTACTAAGACTTTTCAGAAAATGCTTACCTGATCCTGTAACCTTGGGCATTTTGTGTTTTGCACCCTTCCTGACTACTGGTTCTGAAATTAAAACCTAAGTTGTGTTTCTAATTACTAATAACAAATTTACATGCTACCTTTTTAATGTTTACTTTTGAACAATCTTTAATACTTAACCCAAGTCAGAGTGTAATCTAGAATGTAAGCTTCTCAAGGGCAGGTACCTATTTGAAAACTGCTAGATGTCAAGGTGATTAATTTGGACAATGGACCAAACAATAATGTAGGACTAAGGGCCCCATAGGGTTCTGGGGTGTCCCTTATACTGTGCTGAGGTGCAGGATCTGAGAAATAAAGAGATGTGCGCAGATGTGCGCAGCTGGGCTCAGGGCGGCCATGCCAACTATAAACAGAGACAGGCGAGGCCTCGAATGTCCTGAAGCATCTGTATTTATTGTGTATAGGTTAGGGGGCAGGGTAGTAAGTGAAGTCATCTTTAAGGATAGTGAGCAATAAAACAAGGGGTCCACCCCCCTTAGGTCACGTAGGCTGGGAGGTAGACAGTGCACAGCGAGGGCTCCATTCCCATTAGGTCATTGAGGCAAGGAAGTGGGCCATGTGCAGTAATGTCACTGAGGTATGGAGGTGGGCCATGTGCAGTGAAGAGGGTGCAGTGTGCAATACCTCTATCTTTGGGAATGCTACTTCTAAGAAGATTTATAGGAAGATGCTTATGTCCCACGGCAGTGACAGAGCTGTCAGGGTCTACCACCACCTGCTGGCAGCTACCAATGAGTTCTATAGGAGAAAGGTTTTGGGGTGAGCACAGTAACAAGAGCTGGTAAAGTTCACAGTCACCAAGGTGCGATTATCCAGAGGGGTTTTGAGCCCTCAGATGCTCGAGAGATTGCCGGTCTGAAGGCAGCCTTCCACAAGAACTGGAGCAAGATCCTACAACTCCTTTATCAGCAGGAGTGGCTCTTGCCCCAAGCCTGCCATATGGCGGGTATCTTTACAATACTGAACACTGCCATCTGGGTCATGGACTCTT